AGCAGCAGCAGCGGTAGCAGCAGTAGCAACAGCACTAGCACTGCACTAGCGGCAGCCGTAGGCATAGGCGTACCAGTTGCAGTAGCAGCAGCCGTATAGCCGTACACACAGCGATAGCGGCGGCGGTAAGGGTAGCGGTAGCGGTCGGGGTCGTGGTCGTGACTAGTGGTGGCCACAGCAGCAGCAACAGTAGTCGTCTTCGTCGTCCTAGTCTTCCCGAACTTCCCTTTTCACACCTCAAACTCAAGCACTGCCGAGCTGGTCGCAGCCACTTCACGCAAGCCCTTTTGTTCCGTGTCTGGGCACTCTTTCTCGATTGTTGCCCGCGGCAATCACGACGGGTGCTTCGTGCTGCCAAGTGCTTTCAGTTCATCACACAAATGCCATCTGCAAGGCTCCGTGATCGTGCCGTACGGCAGGCACCCCATTGAATTCGTGCAGCTGCCCGTGCCTTCGGCTCTCACCGACAAGGCGTGCAGCACAGGAAAAACAGGTGCGTGAAGGGTCGCACCTCTGCCAGTGCTATGGGTCCAAGCTGACCCATGCTGGCAAAGGCATGCACTAACGACCCCATAAATTAAATCGCACAAAGCAAGGCAAACTCCGAACTGGATTTCACAGCACAAGTTCCTCCTTCTTGGTCTCGACCGCCACGATGACACAGAGATACCACCACTCAGCGACCTCCATCAGCCCCTTACTCCCCTGGGGGCCTACTTGTGCCACATGGTACATGTGAGAGCCTCAAGATGATGCAAAAAGTAAAGCCACAAGCATAATTCTCTGAGTTGTGGGCTCAGCATGCGAGAACCAGCAATGTCCTGACGCAGCAGTGGCACACAAAGACATCGATCTGGGTCCGCCTCTCCCTTCACGGCCAGGCCTGCTCTTTTCGAGAGCTCCGGGCGGACTCTGCTTGTGCCAACTTCTTGAAAAGATGTGCCCGCGGAGGTTCGAGACCAAGTGCTCGAAGTCGCAGAGCGGCTTGTCGAGCTTCTTCGGGCTCGGTGGCGACGTGCAGGTTCTTCCTCATCGAAGGGATTCCATCCTGGTTCAGGCCGAACAGCCACTTTGCAACATGACCACAACACAAACCGGGGCAAACCATGCTCAGGACGGCTCCCTGTGGTATGCAGTGCTGCCCATAGCGTCTCTTGACGAAGGAAAACACTTTTCTGCTGCACTCACCAACTTGAGCCTCTCGCCACGGCACCCAGCACAAGTGCAGCTGCGTCACTTGTGGCCGTCCAGCTTTCATGCTCAGCACAGCGGGCAAGGCAGTCGAATCTGGAGCACAGACATGTCACTCTGAGGCATCGGGAGGGCATTCTCCGGTCGTGGCTTTTCTCTGGGTTCAACGCACAACTTAGTTGGAAAGCACTCTATATAATTCCACCGTCCGCAGGATGCCGCTAGGAAACCGAGGATTTAGAGTGCCGGACACAGGCCCGCTACTCAAAGTAACTCCCAGCTCAGCTGGGGACGCATCAACTCTCCGCACGGGTGATGAAGCAAGTCAATCGTCACGCCATGCTGGGGCAATCTTTGTGCCTCGACTTCTACATCCGGGTGCCGCCGGAACTCTCCACACGGTGAACATGTACACGACCAAGAACAACATAACATAAAGACGGTCGTGTAGGTGGTGGCCCATTCTCAGGACGATAAGGCGAGCAAGAAGAAGAAGAAGAAGCTGTGCTAGTGAATGAAAGAACACCTAGTAGCCGAAGCCCCACTCCTGAGACCACCACATGACTATCAAAACGTTGCGCTACTTCTAGCAAATCTTCAATCACAAACCTCATGATACCATACCCAAAGCTATTACAACCGAACAGCACAATCTAAACATATTTATTCATGGCATCCTGTACCTGACTCTGACGTGAGCTCTGGCCATCTTAATACAAGCACGGGCACGAGTGGTGCGATAGTAGAAGCATGTGAAGTCAGGCTCTTGGTTCCTAGTCTCCTCATGATAGATCCCGACATGTACGCTCGCCAATGTTCCTACAGAGCCCTAATCACCGTAGCCAAAACCCGGATGCAAACCCTACTGCAGGAATAGCAGCAAGGGATATGCATGTCTGTAACCTTGGCACGGCAACAGAATGGACAACAACAAAGAGACAGGCAATGACCTATCCCGTGAGTATACAAACGAAAAGCCATTCCATGCCGCCCTTGCGCTGCAAGCGCAAAGTTTCCCGCTGACCCGGAAGAGTTCCCGTTCAGAGAAATCCCACATACCTCGAAACCCTCAGCCCTGCGCCCATTCGGGAACTCCGTTCCGAGAGCTCGGACAGACACGGCTTGCTTTCAGACCGCAAAGCTCAGATGAGTTGCACTGGCTTCTCCTGGGCTGCTGGCGGAGCCGAGGCTGGAGAAAATCACGTTGTATCAGAACATGACCACTGTACGCAGCAGCCTGCCCTGAAAGAGCCAGGTCCAGCGGCTATTGAGCAGGGTGGTGTTTCGCACGGCTTCGTCCTGACAGCACTCTGGAGCTCTCTGGAACCAAGATCTGGGGCCTTGGGTTTGGTGGTGTATGGCTTCGAGATTCGGTACTTGGCGACAGCCCGAACATCTGCTCGAGATTGCAGCCCACAACAATTCGGACCTTTGGTGTTTCTACTTGCTGTAGTTTCTCCCCCGCATCGTAACACCTCCCTGGTTCTCTTTTTGCTTCAGTCTGCGACATGGTGCTTTTGGCGAGAAGCTTTCTCTCTTCTTCCTTGTGCTCATTGTTGCTAATGTTTGCTATTGGTTCTCGTGGTGCGGACCGCCCTTGGCCTTGCATTAGACGGGCTCGGAGAGGGCGGCACGCGCGTGAAAGAGAACAAGCAAAGAGGAATCATCAGAGAAGGACACACACGAACCCAAGATACACAAAAGAAAAAACACATCGAGTCAGAAGGGACGAGGGAACAACACACTACGCAGGAAGAGAAGGACTCAGAAGTTCAAAGCAAACAAATACACACACACACACACGCGCGCGCGCACACGCAAACATATTTGGTTGTATGTATGTATGTATGTATGTATGTATGTATGTATGTATGTCTGTATGTGTGTATGCATGTATGTATGTATGTATGTATGTATGTATGTATGTATATATATTATTATATTATATTATATTATATTATATTATATTATATTATATTATATTATATTATGTTATATTATATTATATTATATTATATCATATTATATTATATGATATGATATGATATGATATGATATGAGATGATATGATATTATATTATATTATATTATATTCTATTATATTATATTATATTATATTATATTATATTATATTATATTATATTATACTATATTATATTATATTATATTATATTATATTATATTATATTATATTATATTATATTATATTA